CATCTAGTCTCAAAGTGGATATAGTAGGTTACTGCTCTGAGCTGGACGTAAATTTTGCATAACCATGTCGCGTGCTTCATCTGCCGGAGGGCCCGACCCACGGTCAGCTTCGTAACGCTGGCTAATTAATGCCAGAGGCCTAGAAAGTTGATCTGCATCAGTTCGGGGTCGGGGTCTTCTACCAAGGATACTCATGTTATGAAATGTGATATAATTCAGCCTGCAAGTATTAGCCGCCGCAGAGGCGCAGCGATGTGATAGGGATGATGTCGTTTTCGCCTAGTCGAATCATAATACGCCGAGGAAGTGTTCTAGACTTGTGTTGTGTAATGCTGTTCACCAGCAGAGATCTTCAAGAAGCTCGTGCGTTCTGCTCCGACTGTATCCGCCGACTGACGTGGTTTGAGCCGTCGTCGACAGGCTTCACGATAGGCCAACATAACTGAATGACACTTATGTACCCAAGAGAAGTTTGGTTCAGGGAGAGAGATTGCCCAGGCCAGTGATCTGCAATGCATACTAACCCGAGCTAGAAGAGTAAATTCGATTCAGGAGACCTTTGCAACGACATTACTCCGTGAAGGATTTCACCCCGGAATCGCAGAACCGAGACCAGCTATATCTAGATTCAATTAACGTAACGTAACTCTCCATGAGAACAGTCTCTCATATGTCTCTATCTGGTTGGTCCATGGTTGGAAGCGTCTAATGCTAGCGAGACGTTGCGTCAAGTGGCCTCTATAAAATATGACAGGTCGTTTTTTTGTTGCGGAGCCGCAGTTAAGGGTGAGCCAATCATATGACACGCCGACAGGAAGAGGGTAGAATAGAAGAGGCAATTTCTCCAGTAAAATGGTGTTGGAAAATATGCGAACCGGGGAATCGAATGCTCGCCGAAGATATCATGAGGGGCCTGATGCAGTCTGGCGACTTGACCGACCCACTAACAGACAGGCCTTTGTCCCCAGGTCCGCGAAGTGATGGCTACTGCAGGAATATTCGGCTTGGGTCAGTCCACCAGCTTCAATAGGCCCGGAGATATGGACGTAACTCGGGAGGCTGGCCATGGACGTGGGATTCATAACCAATAAAGCGTTATGCGAGGAACCATGTGTGTCAACAGAAGAGTTTTAAGCTCAAGAAGGTGGTAGTTAACCGGTTGGTCGGCAGAGACCACGGAGAACAAGGACCCTGGAAAATGAGCATGGGAACCAATAGAAAAAGAGAAACTAGAAACCAAGTAACAAGGTAAAACCAGAAGATCCTAGATCAACCTCAAATGCCAATGTCATGATCCTAGGGTTGTTTCTTCAACAACCTTGATAAGGAACGAGGGAGCCTGTGATGACGACGATCAGGTTCCAAAAACTTTAACGTCGTCACGCATTTGCTGATGTATGCATCGAACCAACCCAAAGTTGGTGACCGGTGAAGACGAGAGCCAAACGAGGAGCATTATCTGTTGAAGCCTCGGGTCTCGGATCGACGGTATTAGTCCGAGGACCCTACTCGCGATGTAACTTGCGTAATTGTATATAGTAGGCTATTTTCATGGGTGTGTAAGAGCTAGTGATATCGTGCTGGATTGCTGGATTGCTGGATGCGTAGAATAGTTAGGAAGATCTCGAGGGGCTGAATAATGAAGACTTTTATTACATATTACACATAAACCCTAAAATAAAATCTCCTGGGTTAGGTAGTTCCTAACTTAAAGTCATTTACGTAATCAGCCAGCTCTTGCCAAGCTAGACCCAAGCTTTCCTGATAGGTCTAAACCTATTTTCTTTCCCTCTATTGGAAATACTATTTTCTACTAGTTGATGCACTATACATACATAGGTACCTGTCTATTTTATGAGAGATAGCGCAAGATGTTTATGCACATAAGGTAGTTGACCTTGGTTTGACCGACTATTTTATGTATCCATCGTAAGTGCGCGTATATAGCTATACCTGGACGATAAAAATGTTTATATAGCATATCGAAGCATGTGAAAGATCATGTTAGTTTTTGGGAACCAATGATGGAAACGGAATCCACCGAGTATATTCTACATACAAACCTCCAAACGCCCATAGGCTTATGCCGTCACTTACCTTTTTTTTTCTTTTTTTCTTTCTGACTTACCCCTCTTACCTCTTATACAACTTTGTGTTACCATAACTAATCAATCTTATCAAATGCTGGTACATGCTTCTGCACCTGCAGTTAGCGGTCGATCCATGTACCCAAGGTTCAAGTCAACATCGTCACTACCTGCTAAATTGGGTTAGTGAGTTCCATTCTTAGCTCCTTGCCTAAGGGTTTTTTCAACCATACCTTGGCAGCGGCTTGGCGCGCATATCTATCCCTATCCATCCCTGGTCTAGAGCCTTTTTTGAAGTTTTGCCTGCCTTACCTACCCAAGTTGTACCATACATCACATATTCCTTACCACGTTCATCCCTTCGTCATCACACTGAGCACTGCGCTTCTTCTCTATCTTGAATCGAGAACAATCCCCTTGTCGACATATCGAATTGAACGTAGGGTTTCAGGTGAACTTCGGCATTTCCCACGGGGATTGATCCTTTGGCCTTGGCCTAAGCGTCGCAAAAGTATTCCGTACATAGGTAGTAAGTCATCGAAGTCATCGAAGTCATCGAAGTCATCGAACGGGTAACCCGGTTTGCACCTTGCAGCTGAAGTTGAGGAATTATCCCTATTGCCCCAATTGCTCCGCCGTTTATTCAATATCAATCTCGCCGCCCACACTAAAAGGCTACACTACCAAGCGCAACTCCACATCTGCGAGTCCTTGTGCAGTCCTTGCAGTGCCCTGTCAGGCGTGCGCCGTTCTAGTACCAGTTACGGCAAGGCAAGTTCCAGCGGGCTACCGTGTTAGTTGGCCCACATTTTACCAATATCAACATCTCCATCAAACTTCCTGCAAATCGTGCCGGTCCGAGACCAGCCTGCCAGCCCAGCAAAGCCAGAGCCCACCGAGCCAGTTCTTGCAATTCCTGAGACCAGAATCGTTGGAGCCCTACCCGTTTTCGTTGTACCGACGAATCCCAGGAGTTCGGTTGGTGCCTACTAGGACTTGTGCGCAGGACCCGAAAGCTGACCACCTTCAATTTTGCCCAAAATGTCAATAAAGTATGTATGAGCCTCTTCTTGCCTATGTAATAATTGTAATTCCCGTCAACCTGAGCCCCAACTAGCCCTCAGCCCTCCCCTTCCCTGCTCCCCCATCCACGACTATTCTACGGTTTTTAGGATGTGATATCCATCTCTATTCTCCCTGAGAGCATTGCTCTTCCTTCCGCGGTCCAATTTGCACCGTCCGTCTCTTGCCTATCTCATCGTCATAATGGATTACGGCCTTCACGACCAGCATGCGTCATACATTCTTAGTCAGAGTAGCCGGGGTGAGGAGGACACTAACTTAGAAGCCAGCTGGGTTATGCTATCTCGGGCCGGAGAGATAGAGCCGCTGCCGCACGAGACTATTCTACATAGGACAAGAGGACGGATAGCTCTCAGCATAACCGCTCCGAATCAACCAACCGACGTCCCTCCCCTCAACATTAAGAGTGAGAGTGGAACGGCGTACATAACGAATCAAAGAGTAAGTAATAATGTCATGCGTTACAGCATATGAATCAAACGTTATATTAACGTTCATCTCAGTTGATCTACCTACCTTCCAAGCCTACAGATCAGTTCAAGTCCTTTTCATCCAAAATACTAGGGTGCCAGGATAGTCGTATGTGTTCGTCATGGATCGGGCCTTGGTACTGGGAGGCCAATGTGCGCCCGGTCCCTGATGGCAATATCCCTCCGGACTTTCCGAGAGTCAATGTGAGATTGACGTTCAAGGATGGTGGCTCTAGCGAATTTGAGTCCAAGTTCGTGGAACTTAAAGCGCGTCTGCACCATGCGGCACAGATTGCAGAAGAGTCGGGCCAGAGCAATTGGGCTCAAACGGTTCACGACGAACAACTACCAGAATATAGCGGCCCTCAGGGTGGTGGTAACCCTAGTCAAGCAACCGAGGTAACTCGTCGAGCGGATGAAGCAGCTCGGGAACAGCAGGCCCACCAGCAAACTCCAGACGAGCCCCCACCAAACTACGACGAGGCTCAGGCACAGGCGGTCAGCATGCGTTTCGACGAGCGTATGCGGGAGGAAGCAGAAAGACAATGACAACATGTTTGGCATACTGGTTGTCCTAGGACTTTTATGCTGTCGATAAATTTGATTGCTTGGAGACCCCTGATAGAGGGTCATTTATCTAAGTCGATATGAGAAGAATTTGATACCCTCGCCAATAAAGACGTGGCTTTCGGTATGTTGGTGCGGCCGCTCTCCGCGTGGTCGCATACCGAATATTGCTTTGAATCCTATCCTGTTGGTGCATTCGTATACTAGGTTATCACGAAGCTGACCCTGCGGAGGAAATCAAGAGAGAAAGGAGTTGATACTTATGCTTGCAGCTACTCAGGTAGAGGATAACGCTTGTGTCTCCAGTACACGACTGTAGCTTATGCGCAGCATTCTGCCCTCCTGACGAGGTTTTATAACCGGTGGCCTCTATATGAAGTAGCCCCTAAACATTTAAGTCGATATTCAGGAGGATACCGACCCGTATAAAATACTTGGTGTACATCCAGGTACCTACTAGGACATATAAATACAATCTAAACATGAAGCGTCTTAAATTAATGACCGTGAAATGCGAATATTTCTATAACCTATATCGTTGCTTCTACTTCGTACGCGAATTTAATTGGTATCTATTGGTACGTACCTCCGGTTTGGAGCACCGCTGCGCCGATAGATCGGTCGAGTATCACGTGATAAGAACTCTAAGCCGTAGCCAATCAAAATGCCTCAATTGGCGATGCTCTATTTTTCTCGGTTGCCAACATTCCTTGGAGACTGCATTTCATCATCAACCCACGTCCATCCCCCGAAAACAAGGCATTGCAACTGCCCGACAACCGTTTTGAGCACAATGGGTATCTGGGACACTATTACCGACCTCGTCGAGGCGGCCAAGCCATGGACCACCGCCGAAGCCGAAGCTCCAGCTGAGGTATGACTTTTCCCCGTCGAGAAAGCTCTAAACCGGGATTCCACCGGCTTCTATGAGCGCTTAGTACCTATGTCGTTGCGACTTCGGGCTTTCTCGTATACCTTCGTCCGTAACAGAAAGTAGCTGATAGTTCCATAGGAACCCCAAGAGGAGGAGCAGGCCGAAGAGGAGGAGGAGGAAGAAGAAGAAGAGGATGAGGATGAGCCCAAGGACCCGAAGGAACAGCTCGAGGAAGGTTCGTCGCACCCCCACGTCACCAACACATACGGCATCTTGTACTTGGGGTGGCTTCAATGCGCAAGCATTATTGTCCCGAACATACTAGTCGTACTGTATGATGAGATATTTGCTGACGGCTATATATATAGCATGCAAGAACTCTAAGCAGTGCGCACCAGCCAAGCACCACTTTGACGAATGCGTCGAGCGTGTAACAAACGCCTCGGATGAGGGAGAGGCCGGTGAGGACTGTGTTGAAGAATGTAAGGGTTCCTTCTGCACCAGGAAGAATATTTTCGAGAAGCCTATTTATTTCACGGACTATAAACTGACACAAGTCTTCTCTCCAGTCTTCCACCTCGCGCACTGCGCCAGCCAATGCGCAGCTCCCAAGCTCTGGTCTATCCTCAAATAGTCAACGCAAACCAGCCCCGAGAACCCCCGGCATCAGGCACGATATACCTATAGAACACCTATAGAACACCTAGAAGCATGTGCTGGTAGGGTTTTCGGTCGGGCAAGCCGGTTATCATTGTCTGACTCCGGTTAGATGGTCGAACGGTGGTGGCCCTGTAACACGATTTGCGGCTCAAAGCGGATGACATGCAGCCGGGGTACCTTAAACCTCCTGCCCTATGTACCATACACGGCATTCCACATGAATAGATCTCTGTTCCTCAATTATTCAAACAGATCTGATTTCCCGTTCATATTGAGACGCTTGCTTATTAATACAACTTAGAACATCAAGTGAGAGTATATGAGGGTTATACTTGCCGATGAGTTCCCTTTCGTTGGACATAGTTTGTATGCGCTCAACCCTGTGCCGATTAGGAGGTACTTGAGCTACCTATCTACAAGCAGTGTCTTATTAGATACCCAGTCTTGTTCACCCTTGCAATTTATCAACATCGTATGATGAGGTATAAGAGATTACATTAACTACTACCCAGGACTCTTAGTTGTATTGACATATTAACGACTGTGTAAGTATAAAAATGATAAATATAAGTATATCTTAAAAACACCAGACCTTAATATAACTCGGAATTGTATATAAAGATATTAGGTTTATAAGGTTTCACCTCGATTTGATATAACATGTGTCTAGGTACCTAGGTACCTAGCTAGCGATACCGTAGGGCGTTTGAGTTTAAGTTTGCTTCGTATCGTAAATTTTGGTTCGGTATTTAACAAGTATTATAACCCCTTTCAAGCGTGTTGCATATGATCCCCAGCACATATGCAGCCGAATCACATAACATTTCGTAAAAAAAAAAAAAGAATGACCGAAACAAACATACTAGATGTCGAAAATGGACCGATTATGTACGGATGTGTGGTTACTTACAAATGGGTTACATGTACAATTTTATGTAGGGTACAAACACCTAAAGCATAAAGTCTTGGAGACTTGAAGAGAGTTAAGGTTGCGTTACACGGGGACGTGGACCAGATACGGCAGGTTCCCCAGAATATTAGCCAATCACAGCTCTAGAGAAGACCGTTTAGAGACATTTGAGTTGTAACTGACTGAAACATTGAAACCCTTACTGCTACTGCTGCTACTATGTACTTCGCTACTGCCTTGCTTCAGATGCGCGCACCTTTCCTCGCTAGCCAGGGACGAGGCCCCTAAAGTTTAATACATAGGATCTTGATAGAATCGGGACATATATTCGCAATTCCACTTGTTTTAGGGTCTTTTGTCTTTAGCTCAACGATAACAACTTTCGATCGAGCCATGCATCTCATGTATCCCTGACGAGCCTCGTAATAGTTTATTACATCTATTGAAACTGCCGACGGTCGTACATTTCGTTGTGAGTGCGTTGTGAGACTGGGTAGTACATACCACGCGCAGGACGGGTCGGTATCTTTAAAGATTCTCCAAAAGTAATAGCTCGGGCTATTGTCCAAATCCAGACCACCAAGATGCTGTGTTGGTACACTCGTTAAACTACCTTCATTTCTTATCTGATCTATCTCTCCCTTACTTCATTTCCAATAACGTCCCCCCCCCACAATGCGAACTTGATGTCTCCCTAAGGTCCGGATACTCGAAGGTGTTGCGATATTCGCTTTTATTACACACAAGTCAGCTGAGCTGAACTTGAAAGGATCGACACGCGGGGCGTATGTAGAACAGGATCCGGCTAGACGAATAAAAAATAATTGTACCTACCTATTAAGTAACCTGGAACCTTGAGGTTACCTAGCCCAAGCGCTGCAGGACGGAAATCGCAAGGAAGGAACCTGGAAGAAGCGCACACAATGTCTCGCAGCAGCAGTCGCAAGCCATCTTTGGACGCGGCTGTCGTTACAACGCCAGCTATATTCGACGACGAAGCCGTTAAGAAGGCCCGCGACGAGTACGCCCTCAACCCCATCGGCACCGACTCATCTAGCAAGTCCTCCCACATCAAGGGCGGTCATCTACGGCTTGCTTCGAACTCGACCGACGGCGACGACGACGACGAAGCTGCCGCGGCGCGCATTGCCGCGGGACAACCGCGCGACACGGATAACGCTTCGATCGAGAATGGCGATAGCGTTGCGTATAAGGTGTACAAGCGACGTTGGTTTGGCCTCTTGCAGCTGACACTGCTCAATATCATCGTCAGTTGGGACGTAAGTTACCGCATCGTTTTCGTCTCAACCGGCTAGACACATTGGAACAACCTAAGAGCAGCTTGTACGCCGCAAGAGATATATATATATATATTCTTCTCTTAAAAATGGGGGCTGCGAGATCTACCAATCGGTAGTTATTATCTAACCTCATTCGCTATTCGTCTCTTTCCCATGCCACAGCCTTACCTTGGCAGGATGCTGTATCACGGCAGAGGCAGCATCATTGTTACCTATTCTTTTTCTGTCATACCCACCACCTAATATGAAGTGAGAATCTGACTGACCATCTATAACATCATCTAGTGGCTGACTTTCTCCCCGGTCTCACAAAATGCTGCCACTTACTACAGCACCACCGAGTCGGCCATCAACTGGTACTCGACCGGCTTTCTCTTCGCCTTCGTCGTCATCTTCCCGGTCACCATCTACACCCTGCACTGGGGTCCGAAGCCGTCTATCATTGCCGCGGCGGTGCTGATCCTCGTCGGCAACTGGATCCGCTACGCCGGCTCTTACTCCCGCGATGGGGGCAATTACGGGGTCGTCATGTTCGGCCAGATCTTGACCGGATTGGCCCAGCCGTTCGTGCTCAGCGCCCCCACGCGGTACTCCGATATGTGGTTCACGGATAGAGGCCGTGTTGCCGCTACCGCCCTGGCTAGTCTAGCGAATCCGTTCGGCGCCGCACTCGGACAACTTATCGTGCCGTTCATGGTCACGGGACCGGCTGATATCTCTAATGCCGTGCTCTACGTCGCTATTATCGTATGTCCCTCTCCTACACAGCCTGTCTTGTATTATGATATTAACTAAAAACCTACCCCTAGTCCTCCGTAGCCGCACTCCCATCCTTCTTCATCCCAGCAGAGCCTCCCACTGCCCCCGGCCCATGGTGCTCCACACCTAAAGCCTCCTTCCGCTCCTCGCTGCAACTCCTAAAATCCGTCGAGATCTGGCAGGTCCTGATCCCGTACTCTATCTACGTCGGCTTCTTCAACAGCATTTCCACGCTGCTCAACCAGATCATGATGCCCTACGGCTTCTCGTCGGACGACGCCGGCATCGCTGGTGCCCTGCTCATTGTCGTCGGGCTGGTCGCCGCTGCCATCTCCAGCCCTATCCTCGACCGCACAAAGGCCTTCCTGCTCGCTATCAAGGTCGCCGTCCCGATTATCGCCTTGTCTTACCTGGCGTTCATATGGATGCCAGGTACCCGCGACTTAGCCGGCCCATACGTCGTGCTCTCCATCCTCGGCGCCTCGAGCTTCTCCCTACTACCCGTTGCCCTCGAGTTCCTCTGCGAACTGGGTCATCCGATGAGCCCCGAGATCACATCTACGATTGCCTGGGCAGGGGGCCAGTTACTTGGTGGTATTTTCATTATTATCAGCGACGCCCTCAAGGCGGGGCGAACAGCAGATCCGCCGTTCCATATGTACAATGCGCTCGTGTTCACGGCGGTTGTTTCCCTGGTGGCGGTCATCCCGGTTATGGCGTTGGGCATGTTTGGACGTAAGGAGAAGCTGGCTATTAGACGGATGGGAAGTGGGAGTAGTAGTAGTAGTAGTAGTAGCACTCAGGTTGTGAACGACAGTCCTGCGTGATACGATGACGAGGATGGGTCATGATGGGACGGGCGGGACGGGCGGGATGGCATGTTTTTATGGCTAGATGGATGGATGGCTGGGAAGACGTGGTGTCCGGTAGGTCGGTGGGCGGCTGGGTATCTAATAACGGCAATACCCGAATAGGATAATCAACCTTGGGAGGGATCACGGACAAGGACTCGGATCGGACGTGGACGCGATTTCTTTCTACTCTCATCCTACTATATCATTTTTCTCCGCCCCGGCCATAGCAAGACAGACGGTTTCTAGGCCGTTTCGCCGCACTAGACGATTCAGTCTATTCTATTCGCGGAGCTATGAAACGCGGGAAGACGGGGAGGAGGGGGACGGATATCCATGTCTTAATGCGTATGCTTTTATTAGTAGTAGTAGTAGTAATAGTGTTATTGCTGTATCTATACCCGTAGTGCGAATTAAGTGTATTTGCTATCACTCACTTGATTGAGATATATCGGGCTTTTGATAGATGTAGATTGTAGATTGTATACCTACCTATCTGTTTAAGTACGTCCGTAAATAATATTATATATATTAGGTACCTCCATGTAGGCAATATGAACGTGATGCTAATTATTATAGGTAGTTTCCTAGCCTGGGCTCGGGGTATATAATAACAATACTCATAGGTAGGTTGGGTAGTTATGAACGCCATCCCCTTCATTAAGACATGCCGCAAGACTCTTATAGCTAGCGACATATTGCTCTATCAGTCTACTTCCCTTCCCCAAGAGCTTCCTCCCAAGCAGTCCTTAACCTCTCAAGCTCAGCCCAGCACTTCCGTCCATCCTCCTCAAACTCCTCTCTCTTCTCCTCCGTCAAGTCCTCGGCATCCCACCTGCGGCCCCGAAGCTTATGCAGAACCCCGGGGGTAGGATCACGCTTCAGCGTCTCGCGGTCCTCAATTACACCTTCCCAGCCCCAACCGTCGACTTCAGCTTTCTTAGGCATGACATGGCCTGACCGTGTCGCGCAGGTACCCCACTTGACACGCTCGGCGTTCAGCTCGTCGAGGGAGTCCTGGTCTGCGAGCGCGAGCCAGGTCGATGCGCATGCGCCGAGGCACGGTTCTACGGGGTGCCAAGGGGAGCCGAACCAGCGCGCTAGGTACATGGCGGCGTAGTAGGCCCAGTACAAGAGCCAGCTAAGCGGGAAAAGTGGCGTGCAAACCACACCGGGGTGGGAGAGGTAGAAGCGCGGTTTTATGGGTTTATCGGCCGTGGCGGGGGAGGAGAAGTATGAGGAGGATACCTTTTGTACGGTAGGGAGATCCTCGGTTAGGCAGAAGAGGTCGGTTATGCGCTTGCTGCTCTCGTATGGGGGCTTGTATTGCCGTGCCTGGAAATCATCGAAGCTGAGGTGTTCGTGGCCGGCGTCTATTGTACTTGTCCAGATAACTCGACCCCGTGGTTCGTTTGGTTGCGAGCGGCTCAGCAGTGGTAGCAGTTCGTGTGCTAGGATATAATGTCCAAAGACATTGGCGCAGAAGACCTCAGCCAGTTCAGGCGGTGGCGTCTTCAGATCGGCGGCCGAGTCTCCAAGTAGCTTCTTCTGGTCGAGCGTAGCAGCAGGCAGAGCCTTCTTGAAGACAGGGAATGTACAGCATTGTACGAGCCCAACTTGGAGGAATTGCTTTGCAAATAAGATCCAGTCTAGGCCAGACCAGCCGCCGATGCCCGCATTGAAGAGTGAGACATCGAGACGGGGTATCTTTACATCTTCAACTAAGCCAGTCGGATCGCTCACTGTGCCATGGACCAATTGCTTCGCAGCGCCGTATATTGAACGAAGGTCGCATAAGTCGACCTGAATACTGAGGATGTGGACTCGAGAGATAGCGGTCTGAGGGTCGTAGTCGTGGCCTGCTCGCGACCGAAGCTGCTGGGAGGTCTTTGCCGTTTTCTTTAAGTGAGCGCGTAGGGAGAGGATGGTATCGCGAGACTTGGAAACGGAGCGTGTTGTAGGTATAAGAATAAGATGCGAAGATAAGGATCGCGAAGCGAGGAACTCGTCGATTATTCGCTGACCGGTACCAAGACCGACGCCACTACATAGTCCTTCGTCTAAGATACAGTACTCCCATGTGTGAGTTCCCACGTGGCATAAGGAAGCGCATACCTATTAGCTCCGGTGAGCAGGACGAAGAACTGTTCGTGACTCGCGGCCCCTGCCCACGGTGGAGACGCCATCGTCGGCTAGGTACTTGGAATAATACCCTTTTTCCCCAAGCTAGGTAAGTAGAGTCGGTAAGGTATTAGTAACCCGGCGCAGATGTATAATTGTATGCAATATTCGGTAGAAATTGGGCGATTCTGCTTGTTTCCCCCCTACCGACACGCGGTGCGACTTGCAAATATTAGGCAATATACTTGGTAGATGAATTAGGGCGGTCAAAACGGGCGAAATCTATCTAACTACCAGATCAACGAAGGTGGAGCGATGGGCGTTCGGGATCAAGTGGAGTCCCGTAGCGTAACATCGCAAATGCGAGTGTGCTTGAGTGTGCTTCCGAGCATGATTCCATCTTAGATAGAAATCGTCCGTTCATTCTACGATGGTTCGTTCCAAGTTTTGGGGAATTATTAAAACGGAATGGTGCATGGAAATTTAATGATTGTAAGGTAAGGTTCGGATGTGGTGGTACACAGTAAGCTACCTACCAGGTTAGGTACTTCCCGTTAAGTTATCTGTACGTCATTTATAGAGGTAGGTACCTAACCTACATAAGATACTTCAAGAGGTAACATGTATTTCTTTCATGTGTAACACCAACAAGATTGGTTATAAATGCATATAAAGTAATAAGACATCTTAGAGGCAGCGTACCTAGGTACATTAGGTAAGTACCGATATGTATAATGCTGTACGTCCGGAGCAACAAACTGCTGCGTACTGTGTGTATATGAAAATAAACGCAATATCGACCTCGGCAAGTTAAGTGCCTAGGCGCGCATATTAGAACAAATTGCTTATACTTACACGTGCCTAACCTAAGAATTATCTGCGTTGTTTTATAGGTCTATCCGCCTTACTATTTCCGACTTGACAGCTGTTTTAAAAAGGGTTAGTTTATTAGAAATGCCGTTATAGTTAAGGGTTAGTGGAGAGATGAGAAGATGAACCTCGGATGGTTATCACGATATCTACAAAATTTAAGGTTCTATGTAGGTAGTGTAGGATCCGATCTCCAGGGACCTCTCCTTCCCTTACAGGCCTTATACATATGTAAGTTACAGGGAGATAAGCTAATTCGGTATTATTCAGTACTGGGTATCAGTTATTAGTATTATTAGGTGGAACGTCATCTTCATCTCGCTTCCTTCGGCTTGCCTACTTGATCATCTTTTTATTTTATTTCCTCCCTCTAAATCACAACTTTATAATCTACTTTATTATGCGCCATTGTTTGCATATTTTATATCGTGTTACTCAACCTTGTCAGGTAGTTATATAATTAAGTCATCATCACTCGGCCGGTTACACTCAAACTCCATAACATCATAGTCGGACGATCTGCGCCTTGGGGTAATATTTTATTCGACTTGATAAGACGCGAACGCGGCCACACCCGGCATTCCATAACTTTCGCTGCATCCTCATTTTAATTCTCGACTCGTCAACGCTTCAAAATGAACAAACTACCAATAGACCTAGTCATGACTCGGTTCGCACATACGCTCCAGACTGGCTTGCTGCCCGACCAAGTCTGGATGGTCATTAGCTGGATAGCCTTCTTTTTTGTGCGTCCCAATTCTACTGGCCCCTCGCTCCTCTACATTTTACTAACAGTCATGTTCAGAAACTAGCCAGCTTATCTTTCGCCGTCCCTATTCTAGGCCTAGTCGTTTTCGACTTCTGTCTTTGGATCTATCGACTGAACCAACCTCAACCTCAGAACGCCTCACGAACAAATCGCATTTCGCGCAAAGCTACCGGTCATAGCGTTAACCCAACGTCACCCGCAAGTGACATTGGCTCCGCAACAGCTCTGGCTGCTAATTCAACTACGAGTCAGAGGCGTACCGTTTACTCGGATCATGCGAGCGACTAACCCGAAAATACCTAATACCTAGTCCGCTACAACAACATAATTGCGACAACCGTATATAATAGAACATAGATAATATTTTGTATCTCTTCCTTGACTACGAAATTTGGGACAGGACTTTGATCAGATCGCTGGTGACCCCCATTGCCGTCACCTCTCCTCCGGCGCCAGCGCCTTGTATGATTAGAGGATTCGCGCCGTACCGTTTGGTGTAGAAACTAATTATGTTGTCGCTTCCTTTGAGGGCCGCGATCGGGTGCGATTTGTCGAACGTCTCGAGGCCGACCTTGACGGCGTTGGAACCCACGTCGATACTGCCCACAAACCTTACCACTTTGCCTTGCTTTTCCGCTGCGGATTTGGTTTCCTCCATTTGAGAGTCGAACTCGGGTAATCGCTGCAAGAACTCGTCTCCACTAGCGACAGATTCTAGCTCCTTCGGGATCAGACTCTGTACGGGGAATGAAGTGGGGGATTCGACAGGGAGGCCCGCCAATCGGGCAAGTATTGTCAGCTTCCTCGCCACATCAAGTCCGTTTAGATCGTCCCGAGGGTCTGGTTCTGTGTAACCCAATTCCTTCGCTCGCTTGACTTCGGCAGACCATTGGCCACCAGAACCCTCGACCGGAGCAAAAGAGTTGAAGAGGAAGGACATTGTACCGCTAAATACACCTTCAATTTTAGTCACCTCGTCGCCCGTCTCTACAAGGTCCTTGAGCGTCGAGATAACAGGAAGGCCAGCTCCGACAGAGGATTCGTGGTAGACCTTAGCCCCGGACGCAGCAGCAGCAGTGAATATATCCTGCCATAACTTATACGAACCCGAAAAGGCCTTCTTGTTTGGTGTGACGATGCTGATACCACGGCTTAAAAAGAGGGGATAAGTATCCGCGACGTCTTGGGAACTGGTGTTGTCCACAAGAATGACCTTTGATGGTGCCGCAGCTAGGTAATCGGCCACCTGGGGCAAATTCAGGGGCGATTTGGTTGAGGCGGCGAGTTCTTGGAGGACGTTCTCGGTAGCTACAGAGTATTCATCATTGAAGAGAGCCTTCTTGCTAGTCGAGATATAGCAGAGATCCAACTTAGGGGTCGGTCGTCTTTTGGACAAAGCCTCGAATTGGGAAAGGAAGCTTTTGCCAACGCCTCCAGCACCTTTAAATAGCAAATAGATTAGCCAATTAAATCACTAATTATTCAAATCCGTTTCTTAGTTCATAACATACCGATGATAGCAACGAAGACCTTATTAGTTGCCGCCATATTGTGAGTAGTCAATTAGTTGTATTTTGCAAGCTTTCAATGCTAAGGACGTGGGGTAATTTTATGTAGACACAAGGCCGATCACGGCTTTCGCGGGGCATTTCAAGGCCTAAAAGTTCAGTGGGCTTAAGTGGAGCAATTGAACATAAGCCTTGTCGGGAACTGCCATTCAGCTTAGGCACAGGTACCTTAGGTACCTAAGGTAGGTTAGATAGGTACCTCCTTACCTAACGTATAAGCTGGCGCCATCCCGCCTCACCAAACGGCATTCCAGGTTAGCTATTACAACATTCTTTCATATCCCGAACACCACAACCCGACCTGCGGGACTACTTACTTTTGCACGCAATCCCCGTTCAAAATGCCACAAGATCCAAATCTTTACGGGCAACGGCCTGCCAAGCGGCAAAAGAAGGGGATCCCGCTTTCGGGCTCTCTAGACTTTGCTTCTCAACTGACCTCCCTCCTCTCAACGTCCGCCTCCGACCCATCATCAGCGTCGTCCTCCGCAGTAGCGTTCGGCCGCGCCCGCCCTTCCAAAAATAAAGACGACATATTTTCCGTCAAGGCGAAGCGGAAAGCGGGTACCTCCACTTCCACAGCAGAAAATGACGGTAAAGATGGCGCAAAGATCCAGCTCAAAGAGGTCCGCGGCACCGAAGATGAGAAACAAGACCTCGCACGTGCGCGCCGCAAGATGGAAGAGAAAGCGAGGCTGTATGCCGCCATGAAGCGCGGGGATTACATCGCGAAGGAAGGCGAGGCCGCGCCCCTCGTCGACTTCGATCGCAAGTGGGCGGAGCGGCATCCTGAAGACGCCGACGACAATAACACGTACTCGAGCTCCGGGACAGACGACTCAGATGCGGACGATGCCGACCAGGAAATGGTCGAATTCAAAGACGAATTCGGACGTACCCGCCGCGCCACCCGCGCCGAAGCAACCCGCTACGAGCGGCGGCAACAACGCAGCGCGCTCGGTGCCGCAGAGCTAGAAACCATGGCGGCGAAACCCATCAAGGCGCCCGAACGCCTGATCTTCGGGGACGTGATCCAATCCGGCGCATTCAACCCCGAGGACGACACAATCAACAAGATGGAGAATCTAGCCGCGAAGCGGGATAAATCGCCAACCCCGCCTCCCGACACGCATTTCGACGGGCGCGCGGAGATCCGGACCAAGGGAGTTGGGTTCTACCAGTTCAGCCATGACAAGGATTCGCGGAAGGAGGAGATGGAGGCGCTGGAGAGAGAGCGGGATAATACGGAACGGGTGCGACGGGAGAGGGAGGAACAGAAGGAGAAGCGGAGGAGGGAGATCGAGGAGCGTCGGAAGAAGATTGGGGCGAAGCGCGCGGAGAAGATGGCGGAGAGCTTTTTGGATGGGCTGGCGGGGGAGATGGGGACGTCTGGTGCTGGTGGGAAGGGGAAGGAGTCTGAGGAGGGGACGCGGAAGAGCACTGGTTCGTGATAGCTGGCACCGATGCTGGCGCGGAGGGTTGCTTTCTTCCACCATTATAACGAAAATACACCCTTTTTTTCGTGGCTATAGACGGCTAACGCAACAGTCACGAAAGGGACATGTTACGGAAGAATGAGGATTAGTTTAAGACTAGGAATTTGAATATATGATACCCCCTTTTTGTCATACCTAGGTAGGTACCTAAGACAGCGTTAACAAATTGGCGTAAAGGTATAACTAGGAAGACTAATAGTTAAAACTTGTAATAACTGGAGGGAATATAAGTATAATGCTAGGTTAGATCTTTCTATGGCCCGTGTAACACTATCTAAATACAAAACTGTAACATCATGTTTATAAATCATATCGTAATCTAGTCTAGTAGGCAGAGGAAGAGTTATACCGCTCGGTAGTTAGATCTTTCTCTAACTACTAACCGCATCAATGTTGTCTATACATATTATATTATACGTGCATTCTCATATCTTTAGAAACCTTAGATAAAACCAGGCCGAAATTTTCAATTTACTCCCAGATACTATTCCGCAAACTAAACGTACATATGTCACACTTAAACTAGTCCGTCTGGTTAGAGCGTCATCGTCCTTCGTATAACCTCGTAAATCTAACACGATCTTACATCAATCCTATTGTTTCGCCATAGCAATAAATATCAAGTACTCGACAAATACTATTCATACATTATCCTTATTCCCTCTATGATAGTATATAAACCAAGTAGTTATGTCGTGCATACACATTGTCAACGCCCAACCTCATCAATCCAGCCTAGTTTAACAAACATAGATACAATCCTGGGGGTTAAAGTTCCCTAGTAATGCTCCTACCAGGTATCTCGATAGACGTCCTATATGACTATAACTATATAGCATAATATATATATGGTAGATATTTATGTGATGTGTGAGGAAATACCGCTCTCCTATCAACAGCCGCAACCAAGGAAACGTATCTCTCTCCCACCGTCGTGTATCCAACAACGCCGTAGCCCGAAAACGCGCCCGCAAATAATAAGTATGGGGTCGACCGAGAAGCGGGAATCGAAGTCGCCCGCTAATTTTCCCCTGGAAGCCAATAATACAAGTACCGTTCGCCGCGTAAGCGAAATTCCCCTGAACGCCGAAATGTATATGCGCCCTCTTCCCAGATAATCATGCTATATACAATAGGTTTTCGTTCTCTTCGCTTTGAGCCGTCCGAAGAGTGAGAAATGAAAATGATGACACCGCATACAATCTCAGCCGTTCAGGAGAGCCACCACATACAGCCGCAATCACTCATATCGCTTCCCATCCCGATACCATCCCCGCGGCCTCCTAGATGGCGCTCCGCGACTCCGTCCTTCGTGGGTCCTGATCCAAACACTCCTTCGTCCTCATTAATGATGATATCGACTGTCTTTCCATCTACTTTTATTGCTTCTGCCTCGTTGTTCTCGTTAATCTGAAACTGGCGGCACCAAGGCTTAGCCGCCGACGAGTCGGCGTTACGATGCTCCTCGACCTTGATGACCCGTGGGTATACGGGTGGATAATTCGGAGGCATGGGAATGTCTTGGTCGGATATGCTACTAGACGTAGGAGTCGAGGAAGTATCGGTTGGGTTCGGAAGGCCATTAGAGGCCGTAGTAGTCCCATAGTGATCTTGGGGTGCGCCATAAGGAACATCCGAAGGCCTTAAATCGCTGCCGTTGTCAACACCTTCAGGGGATCCAGTGACAGCCGCGTCGGGTGTCGTAGTTAGCCCAGTCGTTAGAGGCGGTGGAGGACCTGCCATCGGTCTAATACTATTATTTTGATTTGCGTAGATAAAAGCCTCTAAGACGGTGTTGTCCCAATGGCAAATCCATATGCGGTCTCCGATTTGGGCACCTTTACGCTTGAAACCGCCGCCATACAGCGTCTGACGACGGTGAACAACAGACGGGGAAGAGGAGGGGCTAACTGATAAGGCCTGATCAGGAACGATGACAGTTTTATTGTAGGCAACCTCGAAATTCCACGCCGGACCTCGAGGGCCTTCGTGCATATCATTGACAAGCTTTAGTCGCACGTCAGTTAATTCGGGCGGCTGCATCCCCCAAAGGTACACGTTGTTTTTCAAAGTCGTGCTCTCATTATAAGAGAACCCTAGTGAATAGTCAGATGTTTCCGGTTGACCAGGTAATCTCTTGATGTCAATGCTAAGTTGGAAGAAAAAGAGATCGCAGTTCCATGCTTGAGCTAACGTCGAGTCACTAAAGCAGGTATTAGACATTCGATTGTTCCGGAGAGGTAAGGAAAAATGTCCTTCTTGTAGGGGTGGTAAATCTGACGGCAGGGTACTGAGAGGTTGTGTGTCCCAGTTGCCCGGATTTACCATTGGTAAAGGCGGCCTAGTCATCAATTTAGCATTCAAAATCTAAAGAGCACAAAACAGTAGGAAGTTCTTACCCATCCTTATGCGATTTATTCTTCGAATTGGAGTGAAGGAGAGTCCCAATAACAGCACCGAGTATTACTCCCATCAAAACGAGGACAATGGCAGCCAGGACGATGGCCCAGCATGGGACAATCCCCCAAACCCTCCTTTTCGCGGTTACTTGCCAGTCCTTTGGCAAGTTTTTCTCATCTTCAGCTTCTTTATTAGTCGTAACAGCAGCATTTAGTGCATTCTGGCTGTTCTCAGATGTAAAACTCCTGATAGATTGTCTGGATTGGGGCGAGGATAATCCGCCTAGATCCTCAGTAGACGCGAATTCGGGATTTCGAGTAGCTATCCCGATACCTCCAGCACCCGGAATGGCCAACATTGGCTGCACAGGTGCTGGCTGAGGCGTTTCCACACCCAACGCCTTTCTAGTATACGCTTCTTCCGGATATCTCGTGTAAGGAGGTAGCTGTTCCGTATGGCCATCGGGACCAATCAAATCAGCCACGTCCTCTCCGTCTGGACCAATTCTTCTTTGGTAGTTGTCCGTCGCTCCAGGGAACCCGACATTAATTTCCGCCTGTACCGGCCCGCTGGACATTCCACCTGTTTCAGATACGGTGTTCTGCGGATACATGCCGTACGGATGCGCCGGCCCGCGAGGCCCATTGTACGACCGCTCAGAGACCGGTACCGTCGACGTTGTCGCTAGACTAGCCGTTCGTGCTACTCGAACATCCTGTGGATACATCTGATACGGGTGAGAAGGACCAGATGGGCCATCGTACGGGTCTTCAGAATCAACAAACGGCGATGCAGTAGAACCGCTCGAAACTCTACTTAGAGAAACTCTGCTTAGGGACCTACTATCCGACTCAGAAGACGATCCATCGTGCTGCAAAGCCAGAGATTCGCTCCTCCGATGCGGCTTTGTAATACTTGATGGACGTGGCGGCGGTATTTGTGTCATCGGCACATCTTGCAGCGCCGTCGCAGGTCTCGGAGTTTGAGTGTTTGTCGCATCTACCGGGCGAAATCCGTCGGCAACTACCATGGCCTGCACGTCATAGTCCTCATCGTCCCTTTGTGAGATAGAAACCCTCACCGAGGTTCGAAGCGACGAAACGCGGTTTAATTCGGAGGATTTGTCGTCCTCAAAGGCCCCCATTGCCGGCGGTAATTCCAGGGGATTGCTGTTTTACGCGCGAAGAATGGGCAGAGATGCCAGTGCAGCATCAGAAGCACGGCGAACGACGATCCTGGGCCCAGAAGATCATCGGGCAGACTGACGAGAAAGCGTGCCGGGTTATTTGGTGATTTTTTTTCGTTCGTATCTGGTTCTTGTCGAGTCCGGTCGATCGAGAATCCCAATTGCAAGTGCAAGTGCAAGTTGTCCGTTGTAGACAAATGAATAAAACCCCCAGCCCAGCGAGTAGAAAACAGCCGTTTCTAGTGGGAGTGGCTAGTGTATTTTACAGGTTCGGCACAGGGAATCCCAGTAGCCCCAGCGCGAATCAGGGGCCAATGCTGGGACTAGCGGGTTTCGGACTTTCAAGAGGGGGGGGGGGGGGGCAAGCCTGAGCAAATACAGTAGGTACCGTACCCTCCAAGGAATTATTGCCAATCTAAACCCTCATTGGTCCGTACCTATCTAATATACATGTATGTACATATACGTACGGTATATATGAATATATCGTATAATACTTCCAGTTCACTTCCAAGTTTTTACTTGCCTTACATGCCATGTCTACCCTCGGGTAGGGTGATCTGGATAAGATAGTAGGACTATGGACCGATAGAAGGAAGGATAGGGTTGCTTCCATGCCGTCCAGGGATAGTATTCTTACTACTCACATATGACACTCACATATGACACCCACGACTGATCTTCACCTTTCTCACAGCCAGTATGCCTACTATACCAACTAGTTTGTGTCTATATGGAAGTTTGTAGGTTAGGAGTTTGGAATTTGCTGAGCAGCGCCGAAAATGATTGGGTTGGTTACCAGGTCCATCGGTTGGTCTCGCCCCATGTGCGCTTCCCTTCTCACCCTTCTCACCCTCATCGGGGCACCATTCGATCTCTTGGCGATGGCACTTTAGGTTATTGTTAAATGTGCGAAGGTAGGGAGGACAAAGGGCCGCGGGGAGAGTTCGAGAGCCGTGTCATTATCAATGGTCCCAGCAACGGCCCCGTCGATATCATCCCTCAAAGGTTAGAGCCACGAGCTGTGGGCCATGGGATTTCATTAACAGATCATAGCGTACCTGAGAGGTTTTACGCCCCTCGGATCTAGACATCTCATCCGTCGGAATTCACCATGTTGCTGTCAGATGGCATCAGAAGGATTTCATATCTAAGTAATTAAAAGTGGCCTATAAAGACGGTAATATTTCCCGGGGGCACATATTTGCTACACCCAGTTAAGCCTATTTTGTGCTGCGAGAATATTCCCGGACGACGGATGGCACGAGGCCACGCGCAGAATAATTGAAAATGTGAGGGGCGTGCGGATAGGATCTCGGTTCCGTGCAGACTAAGGTATTAGCAATACAGCCGGTTCGATATAGTCTTCTAGCGTTCCAGACGAAATGGAGCCAACTTGCCAAGCATGTTAGACCTTTTTACGCTTGTCCTCTTTATTCTAATTATTTAAATATTGCTCGTGGCAAAAATTCCATGTGTGACGGCTTATGCGATTGGCTCGGAACTTTCCATCAAGTCGCTGCTCTTATACGGCAAGATATATCATCGTACAAAGTGCTTTCCTTTGTTTTATCAGGCACCAACCACACCTGACAATATGCAAAGAAATAAACTCTAAATTAGGTAGTTAGGTCGAACAAGAAGCTTCCAGTAGGAATCGATGGTTGATGCAGGTGAGCGGCGATCCGGCACTTACTTCAACCCTAGAAGCGGGTCAAGCGTCTTTAGGCGTCTACTAATGTGTACTAACTTGCCTAACTTGCATTAACTATAGGAAACAAAAGCAGGAACGCCCGGTGACTATTGAGTTTCTATTGCAGTTAAATATATCAAGTACCTGTCTACATATCGAATGTAAGTCCATGTCTACATATTTGTAAGTCTACACATAAGTCATAGCGACGATATCAACGGAATGTGAAACGATCTGAAAACTTGTAAGTAGAATGCATTATAGGTCCCTCTGGTGGAGTGAGAGGAGACTTAAAAGCCAAATTATGAAGAGCACTAAACCAAGATCAGGAACAATAGATCGATCTCCTTGTGTACACGGCATTTTGATTCCTGTACGGAATAGGAAGGGAACCCGATGTATAAAGTTTCCCTTAAACCACGCTAATCTAGGTACCTTCCATGTTTAGATGTACTTTCGTAATTGAATATACCCGGACTTTGAATATGCACCATTTCTAATATCTTGCGCATGTGGCTGCAGCTCACAAATCCTCCACCAATAAGTTTTATTCTTACTGCACCTACTAACTATCAAAAGGTTTTGCAGCAATGTTTAGTCGTACGTGTTCACAATAAGTCATGATTATCAAGTGTTTACCTTTAGATATGACAAGTTCTATATTTGGCGAGACAATGCTTGTGTAATCCAATGTAATTCTCGGCAAATCGACGTTGATTCGTGACGCCCAGCTAAGATACCAAGGATAGGATGCTTATGGTTGATTACATCATTCGAGCCTTACATTGCTCGACCACCATTCAGCCAATAGCCATAGCGTGAGCTGCTATCAATAATCTTAATGTTTACCCAACATCAAGTCACCATTAGAATATCAAGTTTAGATCTTATCACGATTATTCACTATCAAGCCGTCCGGACATTACTTACAGTATGAGAACGACTCAGGACAACTCGTCGATTACACCGACGACGGTATCCTTCGGGAAACAAATGCGCCAGGCTCACTTTAACTTTGCTCCCTCGTACACCCCGCTGAATCACGGATCCTTCGGGTCTTTTCCCTCGGGGGTTCGAGAGCATCAGCGGCGGCTGCAACGCGAAACTGAGGCGAGGCCAGATACATTCATACGCTTCGAATATCCTGGACTCTTGCGGGAAGCAAGGGAAGTCGTTGCCCCGCTGTTGGGAGCAGAGACCGACGAAGTAGTTTTTGTTCCTAACGCATTAACGGCAATCAACACTGTCCTAAGGAACTTGACGTATCGCGATGGCGACGTCATAGTATATTTTAGTACGATATATGACGCATGTCACAAGACTATTCAATCTCTAGAGGAGACTACTAGAGTTAGAGGACATTGCGTCGAGTTAGTGTACCCGATTGAGGATAATGAAATCCTCGATAAGTTTCGCTCCGCAATCCTCGAGGTCCAGAATCAAGGCAAGTCGGTCAAACTGGCTCTGTTTGATACTGTCCTCACCTTCCCCGGAGTGCGTTTTCCGTGGGAAAGTCTGGTACCTATATGCAGAGAATATAGGATTCTGAGTTGCATAGATGGTGCACATGGGATAGGTCACATCGATTTGCGACACGCCTCTCAAGTCGGACCAGATTTCTTCATTACAAACTGCTACAAGTGAGTTTGTCCTTATTTTAGTTCCTGTCTGCTTTTACACTCCCCTCGAATCACGTAACGTGCACCATCAACCTCAGGACCTCCCGCAAGCTGAGTTTATACAGATGGCTTATGGTGCCTCGTGGGTGCACGGTGCTCTACGTACCTTATCGTAATCAAGCTCTGATTAGGACGACCTATCCAACCGGTGAAGGTTATCAACCAGTTGAGCACCGCGTGGAGATGTCCGAAAGGAACTATTTTGTCAACTTGTTTGAGAAGGTGTCTACGGTAGACACTACTCCGTATATATGTGTGACAGAAGCGCTCAAGTTTAGAACCCAAGTTTGCGGCGGCGAGGAGAACGTGCGCAACTATAGCGTGAATTTAGCAAAAGAAGGCGGCGAGTTGATGGCAGCAATCATGAGAACGGAAGTCCTCGAGAACCGAGCGGGGACACTTCGAGATTGCTTCTTTACTAACGTGAGACTACCCTTAGACGTAGTAGCAGGGGAGTCGCAAGAGAATCAAACGGGTAAGGTTCTAGCTCGAGACGGGCAGGCAGTAGCCGATTGGATTACGAAAACGACTGTTGAAGAGTATGAGACTTTCATAGCGACGAGATACTACGCCGGCGCGTTTTGGGTTAGGATTTCTAGTCAGATTTACCTTGACCGGGCGGATTTCGAATGGGCTGCTAATGTCTTGCTTGAACTTTGCGGCCGTGTGAGAAAAGGCATACGGCCGTCGAAGCAGAGCAATATGATTGTGGCCTAATAATAGCCAACAGGAGAGAGAGCCGCTATAATGGTGGCTTATGCAGGTATATACTTAGATATTTAGATAGGTTCCAATATCCAAATTGGGCGCCACGGTGAGGTAAGAGTTCCATGTGTGTTACCAATTAATCCGAATGGCTGACGGAGCTTGTTTATTTACACTCAAATTTTCTCGTTGATGAATGAAGATAATGAAGATAATCCCGAGTGTAAGTGGATGAGTTGTAGGTGGCGTGGGGGAATACGATATCAGATATCAAAACTCTCATTTCGTTAGCCATCCTACCTTTCGTCATTTAAGGAGTCATGGCTCGAAATAAATGCCGCCAATGTCGTGGCTTGATTGACATGTCAATTTGGAGGGGTCCAGTCCAAGCCTGCTCGGAACTTCTGAAATGATGCGCATACATACATACATACCTTCATGTAAGTAAGATGAGGCAAGCTTCACTTTTTTTCTTCTCCTTCCTTCTTCTCGTGTAAGTAAGCCATGCTACTACCTACATACTACACACCCTCCCCCTCTATCATCGTGAAGCCTCTCGTGTATCGCCAACTGCACCCCAGAAGTCGAAAAAGCTACCCTACTTTGGTGTTTTCGGAGCCTTTTTTTTTTTTTTTAATTACCAATCATCCGGGCTGATGTGAATTCAGGGCTGGCCGCTTCCCCCCCTCCCCTTCTTATTATCTTCCATCCGCTCGCTCGGGCGTAATAGGAATCCTTTTATATGCCTACACTACCTAGGTTAGGTACCTAAGCTACGTCGTAGGACCCTAGAACTGAATTAGGAATTAGTCCGCGGGGGAAGGGGGGGGTTTTTTATTCCCTGGGTTTCCCCGGAATCCTACGTCGCGAGCCGGGCGGATTGAGGCTCCGTCCGTTAGTGGTCTGGGTATGGGTCTGGGTCTGGGGTGGTGATGTTTCATTCTTCACATGAATGAATGAATGTGCGTTTTGCTAACTGGCGTGCTGCTGCTGCTGCTGCTGCCGCTGCTGCTGCCGCACGCCACAGAACCCTGAATTCTCGACCCAAGAAACGGGGCGAGATGGCATTCTCGCGTCCTGGTTCGCCAGCGCGGCCGAAGTTCGTTTAGGTGTAGCCATGTGTGTAAGTACCATAGGTACATACATGTATGTATGCAAAGCAGCACACGCCCATCATCGCCTCCGTAGGGAGAAACAGGGCAGATGCTGACTGACTGGCCTTGAAGCCAACAACGAGGCTGCTGCTGCTGCTGCTGCTGCTTGTCTGTCGTCCTAGACGTCACGAAAAAAAAAAAAAAAACCTCTGCAACGCTTTTCCACTGCAAAATTTTTTTTTCTTTCCCCTTGCTATGTATTGGAAACAGACTTACCTGTTTGGAACCCGTCTGCAGCTAAGCTAGCGGTTTTCCTGCCAACTCCCGTCGAATCGATCTCTGTGTTCACCGTGGCTGACCACCCCGGCCAATCCCCAACCGCGGCGTATAGCGGATGCATAATGTGCAGGGAAGACGTCGCCCGAGCACACGAACACGGTCCTGATAGGCAGGACTGATCTGCTCTGCCTGGGAGCCTCTTGGGGAAAGTGGTTATTTTATTCACGTTACGTAGGTAGGTAGTGTAGGTAGACGTAGTACATACATACATACATACATACTTACTTACTTTGCACAGTCCTAGACTTTATTTAACCCGTGTTTTATACCGCCCTCTATGGCCGGCCCCCTATACAAAGCAGGCTCCCCCATCCCCGGACTTCCTCGCCTCGTTTTGTCTTCACTTCTATGATACACGGGTGACTGTCACTCACTCTTAGAGAGGTTAGGTGGTAATACCATACCTTGACTCAACTTATATCTTCGTTTGTTACAGGGTCGACCCTTGTTGTCTAAGACACTCAGGGCAAGCAGGCAAGCAGGCAAGCAAGCAAGGCTGTTAGCAGTGGCGTCGCCCCCAAACATCAAACTACAGCGCTTCTGCTTCCAGACATAAAAGGAAGCTTGCATCCCACCCAGCATGAACCAGCGCCCAGAACTACGACGGAACGGGTCCTTCGACTCGGACACGTCCTCGTTCTACTCGGTCCGCTCGGGAGACTCGGCCTACTCCGTCTGGTCGTCTTCAGAGTCCGACTCCTTCGTCTGGAGGGACGACCCTGAAGGGTTCTACGGGGTCGGCGGTGCCGTTACGCGGTACGTCGACGATCGCGATGACCAGCGCAGACGGTTCGCGGCGCACATTTTGAGCGGACCGTTTGCCCAGTTCTACAAGAAGAAGCGACATGCGAGCTCTCACGCCCGACCAGGCCGCAGCGCGCACAGCTCGCGCTCCAGCTCGCGCTCTAGCACAAACAGTGTTAGTCCGGGAAGAGGCCACCACCATCACGACCCCCGTTTCCACTCGCGGCCTCCTAGCGCCGGGCCTCAGTACCCTCAGGAGCAATTTCGCGAGGAACAATTTCACGAGGAGCAGTTCCAAGAAGAACAGTTCCACGAGGCACCCTTCCACCAGCCGCCTTTCCATCCAGGCTTCCACGGAGGACCACCCCCTCCCCCGCCGCCACCACCACCACCCGCTGCACCCGCCGGATTCGAAGGCGGCTTCATCCAGCTCGGCGGTCCCAGCGGTCCTCCACCGCCACCTCCAGACCCAGTCTGGGGCCACGACGCAGGCTACGGGCCCGGGGTACATGTTTACGATTAATGACTATGACTATGACGACCAAGTGTTGTGACGTGGAACGCTTTTACTGTAATGTCTACGTATGACCTAGGATCCCATGACTTCACGGAATGGACGGGACGGTTTCTATTCTATTCTGTTCAGCGATCTTTGGGTGGATTTTTGTTTGTTTGGGGGTGTACAAGGCGTTTACGAGGGCTTCGTATGTATTGGGACAGGAAGTGTATGTGTCCTTGAGCATGCCAGCCAACCAGTCCTGCGACGAATCGCGGAGAGAAAACAACAGCGAACAGTTACGAGGACGAAGTCGTTCCTTGCAAATGAATATACCTAATCCGCCACAAGGCAGAAAGAGTAATGAGCCATCCATTCAGGTACCCAGCGCACGGATGGATGGCCGGCGGGTAGCGGGCAGCGGGTAGCGGGCAGTTAAATCTTGGCCTTGGATAATGATAGGTAGCAAAATCCAATATTTTGTCGACTCCACCGCGTAGCGAATGTCATCGCAGCAGTAGCGATTGCCAGTTGTCACTTCAAAGGACAAGCTATGTATGTATGAAGCAGCCCTGCTGGGCTACCCTGACAGGACGGGCATGCTTGCATAAGATTTTAATGGAGCTCGCATGGATCCATTGGAGAAGGCGATATTCAGGTTTCTACATATATAGTATAGTAAGGATCGTGGGCTTACTATTTGACACGGACCTGAACTAGAGTCTCTAAACCTATGGTTAACGTATAAGAGACAGGCCGTGAAAGTGAAATCGACAGATGAGACTTAAGCAGGTAGGGGGGGGGGGGGGGGGGGGGGTTTGTTGGGCAGCCCGGGGGGCAGGGGTTAAAAGTTAACAGGCCGGTGTTTTTAACGTTAAGCAAAAAAAAACCGTTAAATTAAAGGAAAAACCAA